GCCTGACCTGTTTCTTTTAAAATGTTAGATCATATTATTTCTGTTGGAAATCTTCAAATGGCTTCTCCTATCACACAAAGTCCTTAAGATGGCCTACAAGGCCACATATAACGTGACCTTCTGCTTACTTAGCTGACTTCCCCCCTTCCTAATTTCTGCCACAGATAACTCTACTGTTCTTTGAACACTGATTCCCTAAAGATCTTTGGAATTTTCTCTTCTAGGAACTGTTAACTTCCCTTATGCCTATCCTTAATTGTCACTTTCTTAGTAGTCATTCTTTACTAATCATCTTATACCATGTCCCTCTTTTTCCCTCTAATTACTTTTATTTTCATTCCCCTTAAGTGTTTCTCTGTAATACTTACCAGTATTTGACATACTATATATTATTGTCTCTTTCCCCATGAGGATAAGGACTTGGTTTGCACATAGTAGAAAACTAGAATGATACGGCACACAGTAGCTACCCAGTGGTTGGTTGGTTTAGATTTTTTTGTCTGTGATAGGAATTGAATCAAGAGGTACTCAGCCACTGAGATACATATCCCTAGTTCTTATTTATTATTTGAGACAGAGTCCCACTAAGTTTCCAAGGTAGGCCTCAAACTTGGGTTCTTCCTGCCTCCTAACTGGGACTATGGAGGTACACAGTATACCCAGCATCCAGTGGTTTTTTACTAGATGAATTATTTATTTAAATTTGGCTATGTGCCAAAATATTTTAAATTTAATGCTTTATATTATAACTTGACTGCTGAATCAGTATCACCACAGATAATTTTCTTTGCTCTGACTCATATTAATAAAACTAACTATGCTATTAGTGTCTTTTAAAGCTTTGTACTTGGACAAAATTGTATACCTTTTATTTAGCAGAAACAAACTGATAATAGCATTAAAAATGCCCCCTTGTTTGGGGGCCACTCATGCTGCCATTTCCAGTTTACCTGGGGCTAGAAGRCAATATTGAAATGTCCTTAGCTCTCCCTTATTTCCAAGCCATTTCTACTTTTTTTTATGTACTGATGATTGAACCCAGCAGTGTTTTACCACTRAGCGAGCTACAGCCCCAGTCCTTTTAACTCTCCCTAGGTTTACAGGTTTTTGCGAGCCTCAGTTATATTTATTATCACCTTAACTGTTTGCCAGCCACTCACACCCATAGCTTGTCTTACTGTTAGCCACAGTTGTTGTATGTGAGGTTTTATACTGAAATCCACTCTGCCTTTATGTCTCTTTTGCTCCTTCCTGAGACGTTCAGGTGTGTGACTAGTTTTTCCTCCACTTTGTTAGCTCTTTGTCTTACTTTCCTTCCCTACTTATCGTCAATACAGCAAATACCAGTCAGTGTTCTCTCAGAGATCCTGATGCAGGCAGTTTGAGGTGGGGAGGTGGGGCTGATGATAAACCAGGTTTGGGAACCCAGCTAACCATTATTGACAGTCAGAACTATTCTTTGGTCATGTTTTTTTTTTTTTTTTTTCTTTTTAACCAGAGATTGAACTTGGGGGCACTCAACCACTGAACCACATTCCCCACCCCTATTTTGTATTTTATTTAGAGACAGGGTCTCACTAAGTTGCTAAACACCTCAGCATTGCTGAGGCTGGCTTTGAACTTACCATCCTCCAACTTAGCCTCCCGAGCCTCTGGGATTACAGGCATGAAACCTGCACCCCGTTGATCATGGTTTTTAGTAGCTTTAGTACCTCTTCTGGAGAAGTCCTGATCTGAATCTTGGTGGAAGTTTGAGTCCTACAACCATGCCACTACCAAACCATAGTCTCCAGCACTGTCTCCTTAGCTCTTTTAAGTAGTTTACATTCTTTTTAGGAACTGTTTTAGACTTTTCCCATTAAGCCCCTATCCTCTCTACCTTTCCATGCTCAGTAATTTCCTTGGCTCTTATTTGCTTGGGAATAGGCTGGAAAAAAGACCAACTAGACTTCTTCTCATGGAGGTTATAGTTTCTCCACCTTTAAAATAATCTACAACTGGGGCTGGGGATGTGGCTCAAGCAGTAGGTAGCACGCTCGCCTGGCATGCATGCAGCCCGGGTTTGATCCTCAGCACCACATACAAACAAAGATGTTGTGTCCGCCAATAACTAAAAAATAAATATTAAGATTCTCTCTCTCTCTCTCTCTCTCTCTCTCTCTCTCTCTCTAAAAAAAATAATCTACAACTACACTCATCTTTAAGTCCACTCTTCAGTTAGCAGGAGGCCATATTATTCTTTGTTGAAGGCAGATACTTAATGCTTTTGATTCTGTCCCCTTTTAATCATCATTTTTTCCTGGATTGTTAACCTTTTCCATGGTCTATAAACTATTTCATCCTTAATAAATACCTTTCTTGACCCTGCCTCTACCTGGAGCCACTTCTCATCCTTCTCTAGTTTTTTGATGCTCTTTAGCTCAGTACAATTTGACTTTTGCCATCATCACAACTCTTAAAAGTGTTCTTAAGGGTTACCAAATGCAAATGCCAGTCTAAACTTTCCAATCCCTTTCCTACTGTTTGTTTTCTTCCTTCTTGAAGTGCTTTATTCCTTTGGCATCTCTGACAACTTTTTTATTCAGTTCTTTTTCCTCCTCTTTCTTGTGGACATCTCCTCTCCACTCGTAAATCTTAAGTTTTCCCAAGATGTTAGTCTTTGGGTTATTTTCTAATCATCCTTTGTTCTTCCTAGTTAACCCTATCCACTCATGGTATGACTACCACTCACATGAATTGTATTATTTCTCTCAGATATCAGACTTCTATTTCAGCTTCTTACACTTTGGACTTTATAATCAATTATCTTTTGGATATCTTGTTTATTTGAAATTACTTTTTAGTTATATCCCACTACAGTGCCTTTTTTTTTTTTTTTTTTTTTGGATACCAGGGATTGAACCCACTGGGGGCTTAACCATGTCCCCAGTCCTTTTTTTAAATTTTCAGACAGGGTCTTGCTAAGTTGCTGAGACTGGCTTTGAACTTGTGATCCTTCTGCCTCAGTCTTCTGAGTTACTGGGATTACCAGCAATCATCACTTTCCCCAGTCCACTAGCAGCTTTTGCAGCACGTCTTCTTTCATATTGAAGTGACATTATCCAGCAATTTCTTTCTTCTTTTTTTCTTGGTACTGGGAATTGAACGCAAGGGCACTCAACCACTGAGCCATATCCCCAGCCTTATTTTGTATCTTATTTAGAGACAGGGACTCACTGAGTTGCTTAGTGCCTCACCATTGCTGAGGCTGGCTTTGAACTCGGGATCCTCGAGTCTCAGCTTCCTGGGCTGCTGGAATTATAGGCGTGTGCCACTGCACCCAGCTTCATCCAGCAATTTCTGTTCCCTAACCTCTTTATCTACCTGATGATCATTTCTAAATATTCATAGCTCCTTTCAAGCCACCTATGAGAATTCTTATTATTAGTTTTTGTTTTGTTATTTTAAAATGCAAAAGGTAGGCTTTAAGGTCCAAAAACGTTCTCACTAAATACTCCATAGCAGTAGCATAGCACTCTATGGATATTTAATAGGTTGAAATAGTTCTTTTTAACAGGGAAGTTAAGTCACAGTAGACTTTTATAGTGCTAAGTAACTTGCTATTTTTGCATATTAAAAATGTAAAGCCCTAAAACATGACTTGTGATTTTCCCAACTATTTTTAGCCTTTTTTTCTGAGCTATTTATTTTTATTAGAGGTTTATAATTATACATAATAGTTGGATTCATCCCGACAGACTCATACATGCATGGAAATGGGTTTCAGTTCCATGATCCTCCACTTTTCTGTCTTCTATCCCCTCTCCCATTCTCCTATTAGACTTCCTTGTGTTTGTCTACTAATTTGTATTTGGTTCTTTATGTGATCTTATTCTTTCTTCCCCCTTTCCTTTATTTTACTCTAGCTTCCATATGAGAGGAAACCATTCTACCTTTGAGTTKTGCTTATTTCATTTAGCATGATAGTCCTCATTTCCATCCATTTTCCAGAAAATGCCACGATTTCATTCTTTATGTATAAGTAGAACTCCATTGTCTATATACACACCACAATGTCTTAATCCATTCATCTGTTGGCCAGCATCTGAGTTGATTCCATAGTTTAGCTGTTGTGCTGCTAATAACGTTGATGTGGTTGTATTGCTGTAGAATGCCGATTTTAGATCTTTTGGGAAAAATACCAAGGAGTGCGATAGCTGGGTCATATGGTAGTTCCATCTCTAGGTTTTTGAGGAATCTCCATATTGCTTTCCAGAGTAGTTGTATTATTAGTCTGCAGACCCACCAACAATGTGACAAGTATACCTTTTTTAGGAGTCTTAACTATAAATTAAGGTAATCTGATATCAAAATATTGAAGAGAGTTTACATAACCAAACCTGGATTTACTTAATGTAATAAAATGCAACTCAAGATAATTCTATAAACTATGGTGCAACAACCTTTTTCTTTTTGGTACCAGGGACTGAACTCGGGGGCATTCGACCACTGAGTCACATCCCCAATCCTTTTTTTGTATTTTATTTAGAGACAGGGTCTCACTGAGTTGAGTTGCTCAGTGCTTTACAGTTGCTGAGGCTGGCTTTGAACTCAGAATCCTCCTGCCTCAGCCTTCTGAGCTGCTGGGATTACAGGCATCACCACTGGACCTGGCAATCTTTTTCTTAAAGAGTGGCTCAAAACAATCATGTTAACTTTTYCCCACAGCTCCTGAGTTTTACAATTAGATTCATTTAGAGATTCAATTAATCATTAAGCTAATTTCATTATTGTTTATATCTAAGTAATTATATATATATATTAGCTAATATGTAAATATTAGCAAGACTTAATATTGACCAGACCTTTAATAATACCATTTTTCTGTTTTGAGAAGATCAAAGCCATTGGCCAGACAGAATTGAATGCAAGCAACCCAGAAGAAGTGTTACAGCTGGCAGCACAGAGAAGGAAGAAAAAGTTTCTCCAAGCAATGGCAAAACTTTACTTTTAAGCAGTCAAAGTTTTTTAAACTTTTATTTTTAAACAATGGGCTAAAAATAAACAGTATTAAAAGATTAAGTTTATATAATACATATGTACACATTTAGTGGTGTTTTCTTTTCAGACAATACAGAAACAAATAGTTTAAAACTATACAAAAGACTTCATACTATAATAGTAACTTTAATTTACAGTTTCTTCAAAGGGAGAAGAGATTCACATTAGGATAATGCTTTAGTAATTGACTTTTTGAGGCAAAAGCTAATTTAAGGTAAGTAGTAGCTAGTCTATATACAGCAAGTTCTTATGTCTTTTTAATAAATAGACTTGTGGTATACATTTAATATTTTTCTGCCTTAAGAAAATAAGTGTTAATCTTTATCATTTTGACGCTGTCCTTATCTCATAATGTAGGAGTTTAAATTGGACCTTAACAGTTTTATAAACATAAATAAAGCCTTAGTCACACTAAATTAAAAAAAAAAAAAAGCCTTAGGGATATCTTAGAGTAATAAAGTGACTTTCTCATATAAATAGTTTGAAAAGGTACTTAAGACTTCACCCAAATTGTGATATACAGAAAGGTCATTATAAAGCAACCTATATATCAAGATAAAGCTCCAAGTAGGAGCCACAGCATTTATCTTATTTTTAATTTCTTTGGTACTCCCACTGTTTAGAGCAGTTTAAAACATCCTATTCATTGAAGCCTTATTGGTTAAAGAATATGATGGCAAGGCAAATAAGAAAGTTAAAAAATACATTAAATCTCACCATTTGTAAAAATTCAAGTTTTATAATAGTTTGCTACCACAGGTTTAGATAAATTAGTCACCTTATTACAAAACTAAGTCTTGGTAAACAAGTTTAAATTTTATTTTCAAGAACCAAATTGCACTAGTTAAGAGTATAGGAATTTGAGAACCTAAAGCTAGATTCAGAATATTATATCAATGTACCCTTTAAGGTAGCACTTATCTAGTCCAAAACTGCAATGATAAAATTCCTTGTTTATCAAAATAAACATAGTAACACTGGATTCAGAAATAATTGTGGCTGGCTTCTCTCCAATAGACTTGTGAATGAAGTCATCTTTGTAAACATGTTCAGCCTTCTTTAATGGCTAATATAGGAAGTGAATATCTTCTTTAGTGCCAATTTCAAGTGGTTTTTCAAAGAATGGCTGTGTCACTTCTGAATTGCCAAGGRTAATCACAGCACTATTTTCCTGTAAAATCTTTAGTTCAGTTGTATGAAATTCTAGCAATACTTGCTCAGTTTCAATTTGTTTGTCAAGTAACTCCTTTAGTGTTTTCCTGGTGGTTTTTCAGTGCTCTTCGGTGGTGTCATAATGCCCCCATTGCACACTGGTGACAGCTGTCCCCCTTTTCTAAAGGTGTTTACATAATTTACTTCATCCTATACATGTGAAGAAATTATATAGTGATTAACAGCTAAGATAAAGCATTGATACAGTAAAACAGTCTAACCAGATTTCTAGTATCTTTTTGAGATTATTCTGACCAAATGCAATGGTCCTTTTATGTCTTTCAACTGTGAATTCATTCTGAAGGTTCAATAGTTTGAACTGTACTGTGTGTATATGTGAATCTCAAACTCTTTTGATTAAAAAAAAAATGTTCTTGGGTACTAGGGATTTAACTTAGTTTATCATTGAGGTATATCCAAGCCCTTTTTCATTTTTTATTTTGAGATAGGGTATGCTAAGTTGCTAAGGCTGGCCTTGAACTTCTGCTGCTGCTTCCGAGCTGATGGGATTGCAGGCATGCACCACTGTGCCTGGCTAAAATAATTTTATTAACTTCTCTACACTCTGAAAACATGGGGCCCATTACTTTCTCTTTATAACCGCTGAAGTTGCATTCCATAGTATGCTGTCAGTTTCAAGGCTTACTAGATAGCAAAATCAAAACAAAAAACCCACAAGACATACCAGCATAGCCAAATAATTTGTATGTGTCTGGATATTATGTCTGTCTTCCATAGGTATCTTCTTAAAAGTCTTTAGCTTCACTGGACTAGTACTTTTTACTACACTGACAAAAGGCACCATCCAGTCTACGCATTCTGAGATGATGTCCCATTCCAAACCTAGATTGAAAAAGTTGGAAAATTCAAGGCTGTACATCATAAAATTTCTTATGTATACCTAAAGTAGTTATTTAAAAAGTCATTTTAAAACAAAATCAGTAGGTCAAAACAGATTATCAAGCTCAGACTATTTTTTTAATAATATGACTAATCTTAAAGGGACTTTAGATCAATTTTAACCAGTGTCCTCTACATATGAATTTGTAAATTTTTTAAAATTATTTTTTAGTTTTTAGTTATACATGGACACAATATCTTTATTTATTTATTTATTTAATGTGGTGCTAAGGATTGAACCCAGTGCCTCACATATGAGAGGCAAGTGCTCTGCCACTGAGCCACCACAACCCCAGTCCTGAATTTGAAACTCTTAAATTCCAAAGAACTCTAAAAGCCGAACTATAATTGTGTTGATTCATTTCAAATGGACTTAAATTTTATTTGGCCTTTGTGAGTTGTGGAGACTCAGTATTATAAAGTATTTCTAAGAGAGAAAGATAATCACTAAACTGCTAACTTTGGCAGAAGTTGTGAACAGGTAAGAAGAAAAAATTGTGTCTTACCTGAGGCTTTCTTAACCACTTCAATGGAGGTAAAATGGCACAAGGCAGCAGCTGCCAGTATTCTGTACTGGAACTCTAAGGAGTCAATGGCTAAAATACACAGATCTAAAAGCTAACAAATGAAAAAAGTATAAGTAATTTAGGAGAAGGATGAGTACTACATGTTACTACTAAAATCGGCTAACATTTTTTAGGGTATATTGGACCATATGCCAAGAATTGTTAAATTGCTTAAGGATTAAAAATAATAATAAGTTACCATCCTGAAGGAAGTCAGGTTTTGGGGTAGTAGGTCAGGGAGTAACTACTAGAGTAGGAAAGGACTGTTGTGCTGCAGTATGATGGGAGAAAGGGCATTTAATCCAGATTGGAAAAGGTAGTAAAGACATCTGATGCCTTACATGACTGTCTTAAAGAGGGTAGCTGGGAAAATTTGAGGTAGAATAATGTGACTTGGAACTGAAGTAGTTTGGAAAACCAAAGGTGGAAAGAAATAGGAAGTACTTTTCCTTTATTTCTTATCCAAAAAAGGGGCTAGCTAGAGGTCCAAAGGTGGATAATTAAATCTACTTGAAGACTTTAAGTCACAAAAGTTATATTTCAAGAAAGAAATCTTCAACTGCAGCCAACTGGACTGAATAGAATGCAACACGTTTAAAAGTTACAAAAAGGCACAATCTAGGCAGTAAGAGAACTGAACAAGTAGTGCAATATTTGTTCAGAGGGCTACATTTCAGAGGTTTGAGGTGATATGACAAGTTCAGTAGAATAAAACTTTTAGAAATGAGTTAGAAGTGAAATATCACCACAGACTAAGCACTGGAAGTACTTGGGACCAGAAATGTGTTGAATTTCAGATTTTTTTTTAAAGAGGGGAGAGAGAGAGAATTTTCAATATTTATTTTTTAGTTCTTGGCGGACACAACATCTTTGTTGGTGTGTGGTGCTGAGGATCGAACCCGGGCCGCACGCATGCCAGGCGAGCGAGCTACCGCTTGAGCCACATCCCCAGCCCGAATTTCAGATTTTTTAAAAAAGCTTTTGGAATAATTGTGTGTGTGTGTGTGTGTGTGTATATATATATATATAATTAATTTGTTTTATATATAATACCTTATACACATAGCCTGAATTTTTTTAAAATATATTTTTATTTGTAGATGGACACGATACCTTTATTTTATTAGCTTCTTTGTATGTGGTGCCAGGGATCAAACAACTCCAGCCCCCATAACCTGAATTTTATGTTTTTGGGGTGCCTACAGTTTACAACCTGTTATGAGGTCACTGTAATTTTCCACTTGACCATGTCAACATTTAAAAAATTGCTAATTTGGAGCATTTCAGATTTTTGGATTAGGGATCTCAATCTGTTATGTACCTCTAGATATATCTATCAGAAGGGCTTAGCTACCTATGAAAATCTGAGGTACTGGGAATTGACTGAAAAGTAAGCCTTTCTTAGAAACTGATACGAAATAAGCCAATTCCGCCTATATTGGTTGTCTAATTTTAATATTCATAATATGCTTGTTAGATTTAACACAAAATTTAACCCAGGTAACTCAATACTCATCCTAAATCTACTTTGATTTCTATTCCATAGGTAAGATTTTCACATCGTACATAGAATTAATAAATGATTTTCTTAACTACTGATACTTCGGCCTTAAGATATTATTTTAAGCAATAGGCAAGAAAGAATGAGATACTCCTCCTCTAGTACCTTTGTTAGACTATTATATGCTGACCTAGGAAAATTTAGTTTGCAAGTTTTAGAAAAAGATCCTATGAATAAGTCTGATGAAATGTAACTTAAATAGATAACATGTGCATTCAAGTATACAGCAAACAAAAGAATCATACAGAATAATTCCAAAATATAAAGTTAATGACAACTAGCTGAAAAGTGCTTTTCATCATTTGATATCAAAAAGAAGTATTTAACTCTATTTTGGACTCCTAAAGAATGAAAGTACTTGTGAAAGTTTAAGAACTTTGTTGTCTAGAATTATTAAACAACAAATATTGGGACATAATTTTACACGTCCAAAATTTTGTAGTCAAGAGTATTTCAATATGCCAGTATTTTGTTGTGTAGTCTATTTAAGACTATATATACTTTAAACCTGTAATAAAAGTAACATTAAATATATTCAATAACAGTGTAAATACCTGAGCTATTTGAATGAATGTTTCCTGAGAATACTGAGGTAGAAGAACTTTAGGAGCATCCTTAAGAGCATCAACTTGGAGAAAGAGATTTAACCAGGAGATGACTGTTACAGGACAAAGTTCCCATTTTAAAGCCTGTTAATGAAATTTTAAAATGCCCATTAATGAATGTACATACCTATGCAGAGGTTAAATAAATTTCCCTCCCAGCCACAACTGTTTTGTTTTAATGTATTATTARAACAAGATGCCTTGTTCTAATCTAATAATACATCTAAAACCTTAGTTTTGACTACTTATAGTATTCTGGAATAGTTACAAAGTCACAACTAGAAATAAGGACATAATTATTATTACCTTTAATATAACGAGTTCCATCCTTAAGATATCCTCTTCACTGCAAGCACCATCAGTGACATAAGCAAACTCTTGGAGTTTTGGAGCATAGATTTCCTTTAAATTAGAATTTTTTATTAGGCCCAATTGAGATTGATATTAAAAGAATTCTATACAAACCACATACAGGCTTCAGTTTTAAGAAATTCACAAAGTGATTATAAATCTATTCTATAACTCAACCTACCTTAGTTATTTTTCATATCTAGGTATCTAAATTGGTAACTGTTATCAAGATTTATTTTCTTAGAATTGACTTTGAATTTTAGTTGATAAACARCTAGAGTATCTTAACCAGTTGTTTCAGTTAAAAAACAAAATCTTGCTGCACACAATGGTGTATGCCTRTAATCTGAGCTACTTGGGAAGTTTAGGGAGGATGATGACAAGTTAGAGGCCAGCCTTAGCAACTTAAGAAAGAAAGATCCTGTTTTAAAACAAAAATAGCTAGGGATGTAGCTCAGTGGTAGAGCACCCCTGGGTTAAATCACCAGTACCACACATACACAAAGCTAAAACTTGTTTTAAGATTGCCTAGTATATTGGTCTTATCACACACTTGTGACTTTGTTAGAGCATGCCCAAGCCCTGGGTTAAATCCCTAGCACCACACACACACACACACACACACACACACAYACACACACACAAAAATTATTGAAGTTTGGCTGACAGGTCTTAGCTCAGAGAAGATCTGGAATGATCAAAGGATTAGAAGAGTATCTATTGAGACTTGCCAGTTTGAAGCCAGCCTTGGCAATTTAGTGAAACGATGTCTCAAAAATAAAAAATGAAAATGGGCTGGAGATGTAATTCAGTGGGAGAGCACTCCTTAGGTTTGGTCCATGGTATTGAAAAAAAGTTGAGGTCTGCCATATAGGACAGGTTAAATATCGGGTTTTAGTCTAGAAAGACACCTCAAATAGTGTGATTTCACATAAGAACAAGTTGAGTGATGAGTTGACTACAAACTGTGCCAAATTTGGCAGAACTTGGGAATAGCCCTTATGCTCAAAAGACACAGAAGGAAAATATAGTTCAGGAAATTATATGATCATTTCTTTCATTTGATTGGCTCTTTAGTTTTCAAAGACCATTCTGTTGCAACCAAATGCCATAATTATGTGTATAAAGACAGCATTGATATCTCATTTGGCAGAATAAGCCACAGAACATTTCACCTAGATACTAATCTGAGTCTAAATGAGAGACTTAAATAGGCTCAGACACCACAGAAGAACTATGATATATTTTTTCCAATTCTGTCATAATGTTCAGAAAATGTATTAAAGAACAAAACCACTCTAAAGAGTAAATATAAAAAATTATGGTATTCTCTGGGATTCATGTGTTAACTGGAAAACAAGTTTGGGATCAATATATTGTGGATGAACTTTGAGAACTCACCTCAAGTTTGGAAGCAATGAATAATGAGGTAATTCCAATAAGTTGAAGCATATTTTTGTTTATATCCTTTTGTGTCAACATAAATCTATCAAAAAAATCTTGAGCAAGATAAAATGTTTCCCTATGAAGTGTGTATACTTCACATACCTAGAGAAAGAGTCCAAACATTTCATTGTTACTCTCATATTTTCTCCAATTTAGAAAGTCATCTCAGCATACCAGACTGTAGAATGTTTTTAAGCCACATTTTGCTTTTTAGTACCAAAGACAGGAGAGAAAAAAATTTAACATGTACTAATAGGATAAACAAGCCTACTATGGTTCTTGTTTACTCTTCAGTACTTTTATAGTTTTTATCTTTTTTTAGTACCATAGATTGAACCCAGGGGTCCTTTACCACTGAGCCACATCCTCAACCCTTTTTTATTTTTCTAACTTTTGAGACAGTCTTGCTAAGTTGCTGAAGCTGTCTTTGAACTTGGGATCCTCCTGCCTCAGCCTCCTTGAACTGTTGGGATTGCAAGCATGTGCCACCATACCCAGCTTTTTTTTTTTTCCTTCACATTTTTACTTCAGTTATTTTTCATATTTTACTGCACTGGCTAATGGCTAAGAGTCCAGAACACTGAATAACACTGGTGCTAAGCAAAAATCTTTTGTTGCTGACTTCAATGGAAATTGCCAAATGTTTCACTGTTGATACTACTAATAACAACTAGAAACATTGCCATACTTAAAGGGAGATAACTCCATAAAGTAGGTGTTGTGATCTCCATTTTAGAGAGGAGAAAATGAACAGAAATATGAATTCCTAATAAACAATGACTGTTAAGGAAATCTCTTATTCTTAGCTCACTCCATCCCCCCTGCCCCTTCTGGGGAATGAACCTAGGGGTGCTCTATCCTGGGCTACATTCCCTAGCACCTTTTATGTTTTCACTAAATTGCCCGGGTAGCCTCTCTTTCTCAGCCTCCAGTTGCTAGGATTAAAGGCATACACCACTGCACCCCTTGCTCATTACCTATTTTAAAGTCAGGAATGGATGTTGAATTTTGAAAAAAATTTCTTGCATCTGAGATCTTAAGCTTTTTCTTATTTATACTATTAAGGTAACAAATTAATAGATTTTTTTTTCAAATGTTAATCATCTTTACATTCCTAGATTGAAAGAATGTTATTAAGACAGATTTTTAAACACTGTTGGATTTGGTTTTATGTTTGTAGGGTTTTGTATATATGTAATTGTATTTAAGGAAAAATAGGAAACACTGGATAGAACAGTCCAACCACTGATAAAAATCAGTATAAGGTAAAAAGTAAAAACATTAACTAGATGCTCAAAAAAAGTCAAACCCTGGCTGGGAGTGTAGCTCAGGTAGAGCATATGCTCCAAGTGTTCATTGTCTAGCACCAAAAATGAAAAAAAAATTAAACCCCAACAACCTAACTTCCTTGCTAGGCATGGTGGTGCAAACCTATAATCTCAGCAACTCAGGAGGCTGAGGCAGGAGAATGGCAAGTTGGAGGCTAGCCTTAGCAGCAACATAGTGAGACCCTGTCTCAAAAATAAAAAGGTCCAGGCACAGTGGTGTAGGCCTGTAATCCCAGTGGCTTAGGAGGCTCAGGCAGGAGGATTGCGAGTTTAAAGCCAGTTTCAGCAATTTAGCCACGCCCTAAGCAACTCAGTGAGACCCTCTCTCTAAATAAAATACAAAAGGCTGGAGATGTGGCTCAGTGGTTAAGCGCCCCTAGGTTCAATCCCTGGTTACTCCCCTGCTCCCCCAAAAAGGTCTGGGGTATAGATCAGTGGTACAGCACCCCACATTCAATCCTTAGTTTACAAAAACAAACAAAACACCAAACTACCTTATATATATTCACACTATTAAAATATAATCTCTTCTTGAGTCAGAATAAGGAAGATAACCTGACGTAAAAGAACATTTTGTAGTTTTAAAACTTTGCTGTTAGCTTCTCAAATCTACTTTGCCTTGTGCTACTCCAAACGTCCTAGTCTCTCTCCTTTAGATGCATCATTTCTAAGATTACAGGGCAAATATCTAAGGATTGGAGGAAATCAGTGTCATCAGTGTCACGAACACAAGTACTCATTTATAATAAGTTTAGATTACTCAGAGAAAGGGAATGGGCCTAAACAAGAGAGAAAATGTTGTCACAGATTTATAGGGATTTCAGGATTACTATATTCCTTTAGATTGATGGTACACACTGGGTATGGTGCTAGAATCCTAGTTACTCAGGAAACTTGAGGAACACAAGTTTGAGGTCAGCCTAGGCAACTTAGAGCCTGTCGCAAAAAAAAAAAGAAAAAAAGTCCTGGGGATGTAGCTCAGTGGTAGAGTGTCACTGGGTTCAATCCCCAGTATTGCCAAAGGAAAAAAAAATTGCTCATACAATGTATCTTTGGAAGGAATACAAACGCATTATAAAAGGGAGCTACACAAAACCAGAGTGCGTAGTAGGCTTCAGGGTATCCAAAGCCTCATTATGGTTTAGGGCATAGCAGTCAAGATTCCTAATCATAATTTGCTTTTGGTAATGCAGAAAAGGACTTCTCAGGGCCATGAAGCCTAGTCTTGGTTCATTGCTTAGCAGTATCCCAAACCTAGTCATCTATGCATTCCATTCATTAATTTCATTCATCTTGAAAATAAAAGCCCTGAGCACCTACAACAGTGCCAATACACAACAATATACACCCAAACCAGGAATTCTGAATTGGGTTTGGGTTGTATGTAGTGGCTGTGTCCTTCCAACTTTATCCTTTGTTTTGGTGCTGMGGACTGAACCCGGGCCTTGAGCCTGCTAAGTACATATTCTACCATGAAGCTACACCCCCAGTCCCTGAATTTACTGATATGAAGTAGTTTTATTTCACTTTGGTTACTATCAACTGTAGAAGTACCCCCTAAAAGATGGCTTACTGGCAATGGATAATATATCCTGAGGGCACATTTACCTTTAAACATTTTTCCATTATACAGAGATAAAAGCAATTTATTTTGCTGGAACATACCTCTAAAAGCCAGTCTAGAAGTATTGACCTCATCTGTGGTTCCAAGTCAGTATGTAGAACTTCAAAATGCTTGTCATGAACATATCTGCTCTCTTTTTTTAGCATGTTTAGCCAGACCTCCTTTGAACATCCCCAGCTATGGAAAGGGGGAAAACATAATTTAAATTATGTGATTTAAGCAATATACAAACTCTGTTTACATAGCATAAATCTAACTTTCAGTTAGAATCTGAAAGAAGCTCTTAAATTAGAAAAAGATTTCTACCTTAATTTTTAGAAACCATTTTTTTTGAATGAGAAATAAAAGCCTAAAATAATCAGTAACTTAGATTATGATCATGTAAGTTGATAATTTTCAAAGAATGCTTTTTCATTCCACTTACAAAAAGGGTACTGTTTCAGATAACCATGTTTTCTTTCTTTTTTTTTTTTTTTTTGGTGGTGCTGGGGTTTGAACCCAGGGTCTTGTGCATGCTAGGCAAGCACTCTACCAACTGAGCTATATCCCCAGCCCGATAACCATGTTTTCTGAAGAGCAATTCTAAAATGCTAAATATTGAAAGCATATGAACACAGTGAAGGCAAGTCTTAATAGCTGCAAACAGATCATCAACAGTAGAGTCACCTACAGTTGGGGAAAGGTAGGACAGAGTTTAGGGGAGGAGGATTGATGTGTTTAAATATCTGATTTCATGAATTTGCTTATCAAAGTCAAACACAAGTTACTACTCTATGTCTTATGTAGGCTGTACCTCTTAGTCATACTCATGGACTAGAAAAAAGAATTAAGTATAGGCCTTACTAAGCTCGGTAAGCATACTTCAATTGAAAATGCTGTCCATGTTAAAATACTTTCATCTTAATTTAGATAAATTCCATTAAAATTCAGTTCTGCCAAGTTTGATAGTATTTAGGAAGCAAATGAAAATAATTTTATAGAATGAGTGTTTTAAATACCCATGTCATTTGCAAATAGCAATACTCAGATTAAAATATGTGAATTATTAATCAAGAAAGCAATTTTTGAACAAGTTTGTTTTATAATAAAGGCAAAAGATAATATATGACACTATAAATTTTCTTACCTTAAATCTGGCAAAGGTGAAGGATTAATAAAAAGATTTTTAAATCTGTAATTTGTAAATCTGGAAAAGTCACTTGTTTCTATTTCTTTGTGGGGTGTTTCAATGATAATGCAAGGACTGATTCCCCCGGATAATACAGGTGGCCAACAATTCTGTCATTAAAAGAAAAAGAAGATCTATTTGTGTAACAGGAAACCTTAGCTTTTGCCTGGATCTTTCATAAATGAAAGTTAATATTTCTAAACCGTTTGTAGTTTCAGCTGACRTAGCTGACAATTAGCTAATCTGACATTAATATTTTATAAAAAGCTATAAAACTCATTTTGATATTCATAACAAAGTTTTAGATAAAATATAGTTCTAGTAATACAAGACATAAGGCATTGAAAGAGTAATAACAAAATGCTTTTGTAATATAAGACACCAGTCACTTTGAAGGTAAGAAGCAAGAATACCTTTTTAAATTAAAACAACAAAACAGCTCTTTTGAAGTTAAGCCTTTCCCATAATTTAGAATACTTAAAGGCAGAAACCTTAAAAATGGAACCGAGTGAAATGGATCACTTAGGGGACCCTTTCTCCAATAATGCTGGTTTCAAAGGGAATCACTGTCTCTAAGGCTGCCCATATAACACATAGGAAGAAGAGGTAGCAAAGGGCTGGGTGCCAGGCTGTCAGTGATCTAACATTCTATTTATGCCAAAGCAGCAGCTATTAGGACTCTTTGCTACAGTATGAGAGGGAACAAAGAACAGTATATCAGGCAGATTAGGCGGGCCCTGGTGCACCAGTCAGCTCCAAGAGGAGGGATTTACAAAAAGAAACCAGCTGCTTTAAGGCAAATTTACTGTGCAGCTGTGGTTGAATTCGGGAACATATAAATGTCCTTCCTTGCTGGCCTCAGGGGGCATTAAAGGTAAAAATCAGAGGAGTCTTTCTATTGCAAAGCAATAATACCATTCTACTCATTTGTCCTCTCCTGCATTTGTTTCTCCCAAACCCACCCAGTCCAGTTCTGCATTACCCTAATCTCATATTGATGTTTCTTGGTGACCTCCTCTCTTCTTTTTTTTACATCCTGAAAAATAGAAAAGACCATTGATTGGTAAGCTAAGGTCATAGCAAAGAATTTCCTCCTTCCCTCTTTCTTTCCTCTTAACTCACCTGTGCTGTTTTTCTCTTCTTGGCCTGGATTATCTGGATTTCTTGGGGAGAGTCTGGCTGGCTGGGCTGAGCATGCTGCTTAGCTTGTAAACGGCTACTGTAGTGAATTTTTAAAAAGGAAGTTTAATTAGTAAGTCATGTGTTTCAAAAGTAGCAGCTAATTTTGAAGCATGTCTCTAATACAAATATTACCTGCGTCTTGACATTCTTTTTCAGGTGTATGAAACCTCCTGAAGGAGAGGGGGTAGAAAAACCAGAGTTAAGTACACAGTCATCCGTATTTTCCAAGTGCCCATTAGAACTGATGCAGAGGTTAAAGTTAAGTCCTTCAGAAGGCGGCCTGGGTCATTTTACCATGCTGTCTTCTGCACTATATTAGTTATCCCATAGTAATTAATTTTGCACACAWTTCCTGAACTGAATGTACAGCCAGAACGCGAACGTCTTCAAAAAATTTACAAAGCACCTCCAGCACCTTAAAAGCACAGGGTGGCAGATCTCCCCCAAACGAGTTTTTCTGGGTCCTCCACCCTCTCCCCGTATATCCAGAGTGGAAYTGGGGCAGCGCTCCCACATCCCCCTCCCGTCCTGGACGGACTGCGCCGAGAGGGGGTTGTGGAGGCGAAACGCAGTGGAGAAGCCGGTTCCGCGCCAATTTGGAGAGCGGCAGTGGCGGGGAAGCAGGGGGCGGAGGGAACTGAGACTGGTGTCACGTCCTCCAGTCTCCTTTCCCTCCTTCCCAAACCCATCAGGCTCTGCCCGCCACTTGGAGGGGCACCAATATTTTAGCTCTAGCTGGTGGATGAAGGGAAGGAAAAGGAGTTTAAAGAAAGGGTGAAATGGGGCAGGTCAGTAACTTTCTCCCCCGTGAAGGGAACCCAGATCCCCATCCTCTCTCCCACGAAGAGCTCCCTAAATGGGGGTTGGATAGAGGAGCCCATGGAATGAGGAGTTTTGCTGTGGCCTCTGTTAGGGGCTGCCTTCCACTCCACCACCGCTTCCCCATCCCTTGCCAAGGGTCCTGCCAAGATCGGAACTCGGGGGCCCATTCTCCCCATTCACCTCGTTTTCTGCCTTCCCACCTCCCCTCCCTTAAGGCTCCCGCCCGTAGGGTGTCCCAGGCTTTCTTTCCTCCAGCATCCCCCCTAAACCCAGCAACTCCTCACCGCCAGCCCCGCTACCGCTCCGCTCAGCTGGCGCCGGCGCCAACCCAATATATAGGCCGAGCCGGGCCCGCCCCGCACGCATGCGCCTCAGACTGACACCTCCGACTGCGCGCTCCCCTCCCCCGTCCGCGCGCGCGCCCCTCCCGCCTGCGCACCGCGCCCTGCCATCAGTGCGCGCGGACGCACCGCGAGTGACTTCAGGGTCTGCTCGCTTAGGCCGGCGTCCCATGTTCCCAGCGCTCCATTTCACCTGCCCGCGCGGCCGGAAAGCAGCCAGGAGTCTCGGAGAGGCTCCTCCTCCAGGTTGGCTTCTAACCGCTTGGCTCCCGCATCTCCCGCCAGTTTGCTTCTTTCCCCTCCCACTGTAACTCCCGAATCTTGGAGACTTCGAGCGGTTCAGTCCCGGCGTTCACCCAGGGATAGGTGACTTGGGTGAGCACAGAATGGCCATGAGGTGGCCAACCTCTGTTGCGCCCTGGTTGTCCCGGCAGGGCCTTAGAAAGCCAAGTCTTTCGTGGGAGACGCGGGGACCAGGAGGGCCCTCCCCTCCGGGAGGAGCAAAGCTCCGGCTGACAAGCTGGCCAATGGGAGGCGAGAACTACTGCACAACGTGGAGCGGCTGCAGAATGTAAACACAGTCCCGCGCTGCGGGCCACGTGCGCTCTAGCGCGCCGCAGCTCCGGGCTGGCGCTGCCATCCCATGCGGCCACACTCAGGGGAGACTTCCCCAGCTTGCCGGCTAAGGTACGTATCAACCCTAACTTCCCGGTTCCTGCTACGCCGACCCGGTTACCCTCTCCGAGGGTGGGATTCTTTCCCAGCAGCCGCCCAGCTCCTACCCTGMAGCTCGAATCCCGCAGTCCCCGCGCGGGAAACGCTGGCGCCACGCTGATTCTTTCTTTTCTCTTCCTAGCCTTCAATGCCAGGGCCCCGAGGGCAGAACCCCTCTCTGGAGAGATTAAGAAGCGTTCCTCATCCCCACGAGTGTTGTGACCCTCCAAGAACCCAGCCGGGGGGGTGAACAGCTAAAACCACGTGCAGGCCCCTGGCCCGCCCGCCGCGYCCCGCCCCGCCCTGCTGCCGAGCGCGCCCTGCGGAGCCCGCGCGAGCCGCCTGGGCGGGAGGGAGCCGCCCAGGGCGCTAATGGGAGGCGGCGAATCCCGCTCATTTCCTTTCCTTTATTCCTATATTTAAGTTTATGGGTCTCCTAGCTACTTCTCTTAGCGCTCCCATCCCTGCGCCCCCTTGCACTTCTCCGATTCGGACACGCAAGTTTTGCGGCGGGAGACAGTTCCCGGAACAAAGACCTCTGGGTCAGAGGAGCCGTTTGAAGGCTTCCTGGAACCGTGGCAGCTTAAGTTGCAAGTCAACTGGGCGCTTTTCTGTCCTGGCCTGGACGAGTCGTGGGAGTGAGCAGAGAGAAGACCCCACACACGATCCCCGCAAAAACCTCTCCAGAGACTGACCCAGAGGCGGCCCGCCAGASGGACCCTGGCTCCCAGTCCAGGCTTTTTTTTTGCTGCTCCGCTCGTTAGGGCCCCAGATCTTAGAAACCAGCGCTTTTTGGGCAGGCAAAATCCTTTCTCACAGTTTCCCTTTCGATTCTTAGGACAGTCTCATGATGCTAGCCAAAGAATGATTTCCCTTCCAATTTTACACGGAATAGCCCTGCCCAGGTTGACATAGAAACAAGAAATCCATGCCTTGTCTGTTTCAAGAAACTTTATATCATTCATAATGCTTATGATGGCTCCCTTTTGCAGTAGCTCAAATCCTTTCCTATGTAAAGCTTAGCAGTCTAACTCATGATGTCAGAAAGGGAGGGTGTCTTCCAACAAGTATGTTTTAGTCCAGTATGAGCAAAACTGGTGACCTGTATGAGTGAAGTTGATCATTAAAATATGCTGAAAACCAGGGATGTCCTTAACATTTGTGGGATTAATCTTTGAGTACTGTGTGCCCGGCACTGGCATACACGAAATTAATTGTAAGCAAGGCATTGTTATTAGATATGTACTTGGGTCATATACTTGACTATTATATGAACCAAGTGCAATTGTGGTAAGGAAGAAATTAAAGTGGTCCCCAAACAGCTTTGTAAATGAAGGAATGGGGTGAATGCTACCATTTTATAAATACCTGGTTAGTGGACAAATGGGTCTGTAAAAACCATGGGCTTTCAGACCAACTAAATTCCAGTCTTGTGCTGCTGCAAGTTACCAATCCCTCTAACATGGGTTTTCTCTAGAAAAGTTGTAAGGAGGCATTCATCTCAAAGGTTATTTTATTTGTTTGTAGCTTTTTTTTTTTTTTTTTTGGAACTAGAAGTTGAACCCAGAGCTTTTTGCAAATGCAAGGCAGATACTTTGCCACTGAGCTACATCCCAGCCCTCAATGGTTATTTTAATGATTAAATTTTTTTTATGAGAGAGAGAGAGAGAATTTTTTTAATATTTATTTATTTTTTTTTAGTTATTGGCGGACACAACATCTTTGTATGTGGTACTGAGGATCGAACCCGGGCTGCACACATGCCAGGCGAGCGCGCTACCACTTGAGCTGCATCCCAGCCCTCAATGGTTATTTTAATGATTAAATTTAATAATGTACATAGAGACCTCCCTATGTGTACCTGTCACAAGGTATGGATGCTCAATAAGTACTAGTTCTTCTTACTCTTAACTTCTCCCCTTACCAGTAGAAATTATAATTCAGCATTCTGAATAAAATAGAAAGCTGAGTTATAAAATTTATGTTTCCCAGAATTTTGTTCATGTAGTTATCCTTTGTTGGACACCTACTGGGAGGGTCATCGTTCAATATGTCATCTGTTTTATAATTTTATGTGCTCATTTTTTGACTTCCTCTTTTTCCAATCATCCCAGTTTTAAAATTCACCTACTTTGAAACATATGAAATTCCTTTATACTTTTTAATAATTTTAGAAATTTTGGCTTTTTCTTTCTTGTACTGGCGATTGAATCCAACACCTTGTGCACGCTAGGCAAGTGCCCTACCACTAACCTACATCCCCAGCCCTTTTTATTTTGAGACAGGGTCTCACTGAGTTGCCAAGATTGACCTCAAACTTGATATCCTCTTGCCTCAGCCTCCCAAGTAGCTGAGATTATAGGAATGTACCCCTTTATCTAGCCAGAAGTCTTGACATTTTCTAAAGTATATTTTTCCTGTTGTGTATGTCCTAAAATACCAGGGCAAATAAACTCTTGACCTCTGTAGTGCTTCATTTGCACAATGCTTTTTAATTCCTGTTTATTTTTGTGAGGGTGATGGTAATTTTTTTTGGGGGGGGGGTGGTAATAGTGTTGGTGCTGGGATCAAACCCAGGAACTCTGAGCTACATCCTCAGCCTTTTTACTAGTTTTTGATTAAAGATAAGCAGCTAAATCGCTGYGGCTGGCCTGAAATTTGTGATTTCCCTGCCTAAGAATGTCTGGGATTATGGGCATGTACCACTCTGTCTGGCCCAGAAATATTCTTTTTCTTTTCTCTTTTATTTATTTATTATTCTAATTTGTTATATATGACAGCAGAATGYATTACAATTCATATGACATATATAGAGCACAATTTTTCATATCTGTTGGGTGTGTGGGAGACTCCCCCTTCTTGGAGAACATCTTGGAATCCCTTACCCCTCCTGCTCCTCTCCAAAGGGCGCCAAGCCAAGAATGCCAAATTCAAAGGTTTCCTCCACCAATCCCCGCAGGACACAATGTCCGCTTGCTGAGTCACCCTACCAGTCAGCACCCACCATGTCCCCTGTGCAACCCTTCTTTAGCCGAAGCTTGTAAGCACATGTTCCTCTCTCTTTTTCTGCCCCCCTCCTCTTCTCTCTGCTCTCTACTTCTCCTTTGGGCAGCCCCCCAATAAAATCTCTTGGTTGAATCTCTGCCTTGGGTTGAGTCACTCGCCTTTCAATATCTTTGGTTGTATACAAAGTAGAGTCACACCATTTGTGTCTTCATACATGTACTCAGGGTAATGATGTCCATCTCATTCCACCATTTTATTTTACCCCCCTATCCCCTCCGTTTCCCTCCCACAACTTTGCCCTATCTAGAGTTCATCTAATCCTCCCATGCTCTCCCTCCCAACCCCTCCTTATATCAGAGAAAACATTCAACATTTGGTTTTTGGGATTGGCTAACTTCACTTAGCATTATATTCTCCAAATCCATCTATTTACCTGCAAATGCCATGATTTTATTCTCTTTTATTGCTGAGTAATATTCCATTGTGTGTGTGTGTGTATATATATATATATATATATATATATATATCACATTTTCTTTATCCATTCATCTACTGAAGGGCATCTAGGTTGGCTCCACAGTTTAGCTATTGTGAATTGTGCTGCTGTAAACATTGATGTGGCTGTGTCCCTTGCAGTATGCTGTTTTTAAGTCCTTTGGGTATAGACTGAGGAGTGGGATAGCTGACTCAAATGGTGGTTCTATTCCCAGTTTTCCAAGGATTCTCAGCTTTCCATATTGGCTGCACTAATTTGTAGTCCTATCAGCAGGGTTCGAGTATGCCTTTTTCCCCCACATCCTTGCCAACACTTATTGTTGTTTGTATGCATTTTGACTGGAGTGAGATGAAATCTTAGACTAGTTTTGATTTGCATTTTTCTAATTGCTACAGATGTTGAACATTTTTTAATATGTTTGTTGATTAATTGTATATCCTCTTCTCAGAAGTCTCTATTCGGTTCCTTGGCCCATTTATTGATTGGGTTATTTTTTTGGTGCTTAGTTTTTGAGTTCTTTATATACCCTAGAGATTAGTGCTCTATCTGATGTGTGGAGTGATAAAAATTTGCTCC